CCCCCCCCCCCCCCCCATCCAACCTGAGCACCGTTGAACCAGTCGTGCACGGTGCAACAACCATGGGTCGAACGAGAAAAAACTGGTCCTGTGTACCCCCTCCCACCCAACCACAGCTCCTCAACCGCAGAATCGAGAGACTCGCCGCCTATAGATCTTCGCAGTCCCGCATAAAAAAGCACATTCATCGTTAAGATACTATAATAGCATTGTCTTTGACATCGCGTGGGTGTGAGATACGTGTTGTCACAATTCCGTCTGCACTCGAAGGAAAGAAAAGCAAGACGTCGTACGGGAACACCCCACCCACGATGACAGAAATCACTACGCGTTTGTTCCCCTAAAAGGCCCACTCCCAGCTCGTGCCCAGCCACATCACCAGAACATGCCTACCAACGCCACAAGAACAACTTACCAAACCCACGCGCAAAACAAACTAAGGGTTCACCACGAGCACTCTTTAGGCACCTAATTTACCGGACAATTCACATTGACACACAAACGCAATAAAAGCCAGAACACAAAAGAAAACGACAGACCATCAGCACGACGAGGCGGCACGCGGCCACCTTTTTCGCTCGCTTTCGCTCGCCGGCTGCGATCAGGCTCTCAACAACTGCTGGGCGACCCTCCGTCTGCTTTGCTGAAAATCGCGGATCGATGTGGACGCTTGGCGAGTGCCGCACCGTCCGTGGCTTAACCAAGGGTACCAACGCGCCAAGCACTAGCACCACGAAACCACACGGTCGGTGCGCGTGTGATTCGATTGCACGCGTGAAGCGCGAAGAGCCAATCGAAAACAAGAAAGGCAAGGCGGGCTGCTCGTATGAGGTGGCGAAGAACGAAACGAACGGACATCGAACCGCCACACCGTCTCTGCCGACAGCCCAGAACAGTGCCGCCGACAGCGCAGCGACAAAAGGCCGGGGCCCGGGTAAACCAAACCATCTAAACGGCCGACACATCAGCCAGCCGACAAAATACAACCCTATTCTGATCAAAGCCAACTGCAGGAGGGCAGGCAGCAACTCGAAGCCAATTCGATTGCCGGGGAAGCAAAACACGTCAAAAATCAACCAACAAGCGGGGGAAGAAACTGATTATGCGTGTGTGTGCCCGTCCACCCGTAATCATGTACTGTACGTCCGGACGACCTTGCCGATGGTCTCGTTGCAGACGGGGCACCTGTCCGCGCGGCTGGCGCACCCCATGCAGAGCACCTTGTGGCGGCACGCAACGAGGAGCGCGTTCATCTCCTCCACGTTGCACAGCAGGCAAAGCCCCTTCACGCGCAGCCTTGACATGGCGTCCTCTTCCTTCTTAAGGAGGGTCTCCAGCCTTCGGATTTCGGCCCGGCCGAATCTGGAGCGGAGGCGACGGGGGGGTTTAACAAACAAGAGGAGTTGTAGGGTCAAACCAATTCGCAGGGGAGGAAAGAATAGACAAACTGAGAGAGAGAGACACACACACACAGAGAGAGAGAGAGGTTTGGACAACGTTAACGTTTTAGCGAGAGCACCTACAACAGACGACAATTGACACTGACGACGACGAGGACGACGAGGACGACGACACGTTGCTGCTGTCGAAAACGCTTCGCTTACAGCAGGGGAGCCGAGCGGGCGTTTCGAGAGTGCTGCGGCCGAACAGTCAAAAGTCTGGCCGATACAGCATGCAGAGGAGTAACTGTACCTATCTTTGGCTTTGCCTGGCCTTTTGGCAGTGATAAACTCTGACGTCTCTCCCTCCTTTCGACTTGGGATGCTGCTGGAGGGGCGTTGTTCGCCGTACACGGTGCAATGGCCGTACAACATGTCACGCGCACCACCTAGACAAACCCCAACCCACCTCCCCCATCGCCCGTACACAAGACCCAATAATAATATTTCCTCCTCCCCGCTAATCCCTACAGCAAGTGTGTGTGTGGCACGTAGCCAGCACGCTGCTCCGAGTGCTGGGGTCATCCAACCCAAACCTCGTATTCCACACGCATGGCTTGTACGTTGCGCAGAGTTGCGTCGCCTATTGGTGGCCAGCCCGTAGGCGTGGTTGATGTTGCCTACAGCAACCAACACATCCTGCTTTGGCCGTGACGCACACACAAGAGATCTGTGTGTCTCACAAAAAAGAACATTTTGGCATTCACACTCAGCGCCTTTCGCGCATTTTGTTGAAGTTGGCTTCGATCTTTACCCGCTGGCACCGACGTTTTTTCCAGCCAGTTGTCGCCGTCAACGCTATACTAAACATACTCACACACTAGGGACCTTGGTAACACCCGATGGCACTGACGTCTTTTCATCGGTCAGCCGGTTGGTGCGGTCGATTCAAATTGAAGAAACACGCACAAAACACACACAACACACCTGAGCGCCGCCAGCCGAAGGTGCTCGGCATCATGCCGCACCATAACGCCGTCAACGAACTCGGCCTCGTACTCCATATCAGCCCCGCTGCCGCCCCCGCCGCCACCACCTCCACCACCGGTGCCGCCGCTGCCATCCGCCGGCGCTCGCTGACCCCTTCGCGCCGCCAACTGATGTCACGTGCATCAAGGGGGGCGCACCACACGCGCAAGAAGCAAAATGTACCGGGATGGGATGGCCATTTCGACATTACAAAAAACGGAAGTGTCGTTGGCACGCAACGTCGAAAACCTAAGCAGTAATGAGGACAACGGAAGAGGAGGAGGGCTTCCCCCCTAGCCACCTGGCCCTCCTGAGGTCCATGTAGTGGAGCTCGGGACGCGGGTTCGCTACGCATACACTCTTGGCACACGAGGGCGCGATAGATGTACCCAGACACTGGCACTCAGCCACGCACAGAAACGAAACCAAACGGCGTAAAAAGATAGCGCAGCAATCGGACTCGACTTCACAAATATTACACGCCAAAAAAAAAAACATTACGGGACGCCCACACCAACCACCAACAGTGGCGGAGATGCACCCAATACACCAATAAAACGGGCTTCCCTGTTCAGCCCAGCCACCTACCGCGGTGGCTGCTTTCTCCTCGCCACCTTCCGGCAACGCCCCTCTTCTGCTATTGCCGCTCCGCCGCAGTCCCCGCCTTCGCTCTCCTCCTCCGTCTCCCTCCTCCTCCTCCTCCTCCTCTTCATCGTCCTCCTCCTCCTCGCTGTCGCTGGTGCATTCGTCCTCCTCAAGCAGGTCCTGGTCCGTCGCGCCCACAACAAGGGGCACCGCCACCTCCTCCTCCTCCTCCTCTTCCTCCTCCTCCTCCTCTCCCTCCTCGTCTTCTTCTTCCTCCTCCTCCTGCTCCGCGCCGCCCTGCTTCGCCTCCGGCTCTCCGCCTTCCCCGTCGTACTCGTCCTTACTCTCGCACGAGGCTCGGACACGCGGGCGGCCCGGCGGCCCCGCCCCTGCTCCTCCCCGTTCCTCTTCCGCCACGGCTCCGCCGACCCCTCTGTCCGCTGGAAGCGATGGAGCCGGGTCCTTGTACTTGATTACGCCGGAGCCGTGTGGCTTCCCAAGGCGGAAATCGCCCTTGTACCACAGCACGTCCCTCGCCATCTCGTGTAGCTCCGCGAGCGAACCTCTTGGTTTTCTCCTGCTGCTCCTCCTGTTGGTGCTGCTGTTGCCGACGATTCCGCTGCCACCGCCGCCGCCGCCGCCGCTGCTGCTGCGGCTGCGGTTGTGGTTGTTGCCGGCGGCCTTGACAGACGACAAGTACAGCTCCCCATACCTGTCAAACGCGGCGTTTCGGGCATTGTTTTTTGCTTGACCTCAACAACAACCAAGAGGTACTAAATAATTATTTGTCTACCGATCTTGCAGGCAAGTGAGTAACGCAAGAGAGACACCGCAGACCGCAGAGCGAGAACCAACGACAGCAGATGTGGAACGAGTGTTGCTCAAGAGGACGCACGAAAGTACTCTTATAATATGGACAGATATGCCGCCAAGGGCAGTACTCTCTCTCCTTTCCTGTCCCTGTCTGTCCCTCTGTCTCTCCTTCACCGCCTCTCTCTCTCAATCTCTCTCTCACCCGTGTGGCCGGGCCTCCTGCAGCTCCCCGAAAAATATGGCTCCGTTCCGGAACCTGACCACGCCCTTAGCCCCGTCCACCGCCCTGCCCGCGCGGAACCGCGTGTCCACCTGGCCCCCGTCACGCCGCCGGAGCCGCCCCTGCCCCGACCTCACCGGCATCGCGGGGTCCGCCGCGGAGGGCCCGCACCCCCCCTGGTACAGCTCCCCGTCCGCCGTAGCGTGCGTTCCGCGGGAACCCCGCGCGACGACCCCGCGGTCCCACTCGCAGTCCCAGACGTCGCCGCCTCCCGCCGACGAGAACACGAGCCTCCCGGGGCCATGCCTCTCCCCATTTTCGTAACCCCCGCTGTAGGTCCAGCCCTCCTGCCGGCTCGTGTACTCCGCGCTCCCGTGCAGGACGTCGTGCTCCCACCAGCCCTCCACACGGTCGCCGTTGGCGAAGACCATCCGTCCCCAGCCGTGGGGCTGGAGCCCCCGCGTCCAGCCCTCGTAGATGCTCGCCTGCGCCGTCGTGAACGCGCCGTACTCGTCCAGGCTGCAGCCGCTGACGTTGCTGCTGGAGGAGGAGGCGTTGTTGCCGGCCGCGCGGCCCCCCCGCGGGAGTCCCGCGAGCCGCTCCGACGCCTTCCCCAGCCTCACCGCCGAAGACGTCGGCGTTGACATGTGGCGCGGCCGCAGCCGTAACGGCGGGGCATCCTCGGCTTCTCCCGTCCTCCCTCCTCCTCCTTCGTTGGCGCGGATGTCGATATCGTCCGCCCATGAGGAGGGTACGCCGCGGAGCCCCCCACCCCCGCCCCCCCTCGGCGGACGCGGCGGGGGGGAGCCGAGGGTCCCGCGGCGGCGCCCCCTTCGACGGCCGCCACGGCGTCGGCCCTGCCTGTTACCGGTGCCGATACCGCCCCCGCCCCCGCCCCCTTCGCCGCCTCTCCCGCTACTAGCGATCCCACTGCTGTTGTTGCCTCTGCTATTGATGTAGGTTGGTGCGCGCGGAAGCGACCCGGGCAGATCGGACGACGAGTCGGAGCCATCACTGCTAGACTCGCCGCCTTCGCTACTGATACCGCCGCCCCCGCCCCCGCCGCCGGTACCGTGCCTCAGCGGGCTGAAAGTGGCTTTTCTTTGCTGGACGTCGAAGACGGACTTCATCCAGTCCGAGAGGGAGGTCGCGCTCGAGAAGCAAAGCACCATCGAGAACTCGTCCGTCCTGCGCGTGACTTCCACGCGGTGCTCGTCGCCTTCGCTGCTGCTACCGCTGCCGCCACCGACCTGAAGGATGGTGTCGACAGTCTCCGGAGGCCTCGGCAGCAGCTCGATGTGGCAGTGCGTCTTGTCTAGGTCGATGCTGCCTTTCATTCGGGCCTGCGAGAGGGAAGAAACAAAAATGAGTCAACAAGCGGGGCGTTGGTTGGCATTCGTTTCGGCTTTTGAGGCCAGAAGCGACAGCAACATGAAAAAGGATCAAAATATATATATGGATACATGAAATTGTGGGCGTCTCCTGCTGCGAGCAGCATCACCGCCAGACACACGTGTTCGGTCCGCCCCTTAGCGCAGACAGCGATACATCACTGCATCTGATATTTGTTCTCTGCCAGGCACCGGATGCGCATCTCTTTGTTTCACACGCAACCTAACCCAACCGCTCAACCTAAAATCCACGCAGTCGGGTGAGTGACACATGCAGGTGGCAGCAGGACTGTCGCCTGTCTCTCACGCACCTCAGGGGAGTGCGAGTCAAAGAAACACAGGTAGTGGTCGAGGAGGACGAAGAAGCGCTGCCGCGTGTCCTTGAACAGCCGCTGCCCCCCGACGTGCGAGAGGACGTAGCCGTAGCGGTGCGCCCCCCTTAGGACCAGCCCGGACACGTCGGTCGACGCCTGGAACCACGAAAACGCCAACCCGTCCTCGTCGCCTGTTGTCGTCCAAAACAAAGTGAAACACGTGTCACAAAAACAGGAGACGTGTGTTGTTTTGTGTAAATAAGACGAAGTAGGTCCAGTCAGGCACTGCCGTACGACGGCCCCGGGGGGACGTTTCCCGACAAATGTTCGACGGCCTTTTTCGACGGTGTGGTGCTGGTGCGGCTAACACCTTCGCGGTATCGACTCCTTCCAACTGCTGTAGGTTGCCCATTTGCATACTGGGAACCAAGCGGGCAAGGTTATAACTGAGTACCCGCGGGAGGGTTCCACCGTTCGCTCAATACACTGCTGTACAGGAGAAACACCTTGCCCGAAACCAACAACAAAAAATTACAGGTACAGCTGAGTATCTTCGTATCCAACACGTACATACAATCAAAGCGGACCCGTTCGAGATGGAAAATTTGTTGTCATCGATAAATTTACCCATGTTTTAGGCTACTTGTGGGTCGTATTGTACTCGAAAGTTGAACCAGGAACTTCGGAATTATTTGGGTTCTAAATTACTTGATTTTAAAATCCCCCCCTAGATACCCACCGAACACCCGAGAGACCAAACGTCACTCCTCAGATTAAAAGTAGTTTATGAATCCACCAGTGGGGAGAGACCGTACCTAAGCTTGATCATGTGCAAGATACGTACGTAGATACGACACCATTTTGGGGGGAATGTATGCGTACGTGAATCTTGCGCACATACACCGCCGCTGTGCCTCAACGCCTCAACACTGCTGCTGTACATTTGAAAGGAGAATAAATTAAATAGACAGTCTGAAAACAGATTTGTGGAGACGGAGAAGATCTCTGTATCGAAACTTGGGCAGGTGAGCACTCTCATTGGCCCAGCAGGTTTGGAGTCATTCCACTACAGTTGGCCCAGGTAAACGGGCCGTAACGCCCCACAGAAGTGCGTTGGTACAGCATCTGGGTGACAGCGGATACGTGTGGGAGTCTCCGCATTTTGCATATAAGCCGACGCCAATGACCTAAAAAAGTGATGTGAATAGAAAAAGCATTGATGACGCGCACTCTCGCTTAGCTGCCCCCGTACCGTCTCATACATGCATGGCCCCGTGAAGAGACACGTACACACACTGCTTCTCCCGCCAGAGAGGGGGAGCCTACCCCCCCCGTCTGCGCGCGCACCCCGCTTCAACCGTTCAGCAACGCAAGAGCCAGAAAGTCGAGAAAGGAAAAACGTCAACATGGGCAGCAACAACATGCCCTCCTCCTACACATGCTGCTCGGTTTTCCCGACGAGATATCTACATGCAAAACGCACACCTGGTTCAGCCTGGTACCGGCACAGGGTGGACAGCCGGAGCCCATTCTCCGGTATGGCTTGGCCCTCAAAGCTCTGTTCGTTTCCCATGACGTTGTGTCACCCCGCGGTGCTACAGCAACAACAAACGGGCGATCCACCACAGCGAACAAGGCAGGGCTGACGAAAAAGCCAGACAGAATGGAGGAGACAGCAGAGAGATCCGCTTGTGTGTAGAACGACGCTCACGGGTTACTTGCGAGTTTCTCGTCACAACATAATGTTAGGCCCTCTCTATCCCACTTCTGCTGTTGAGCAGGGTTGGTGGTTTGGGCAGGTAGCGGTTGGCGGGCTGGCGGGTGGAATGTTTCCGTGTCAAGGTGTCAAGCAAACACAGACAGCCGCATCACGATAAAGGGCCGCTCTGGGGATCCGCAGATAGCACACACAGTAGCGGCATGTACCGTATGCGTGTGACACAGGATACCACACCCCTTGGACTGCTCGACCGATTTTCACGGCTCGAGTACAACACAGCAGCAAAAAAGAGAGCGGCGCCGAAATGGCGGCGTTGGAAGCATCTCCTCGACATCTTTCCGAAAACGAATCAGTTTTAGTTATCCTATTCTTGTCAAGTTATGTCGAGCTTTGACAATCGGTCCAGGGGGTGTGTGGTACTTGTGGTACCCAGTGTCGGTTTGGGAAGACGTCGCACCCCGCCCAGCTGAGGACCGATTTCTCAAGTCCCGATGGGCCGATGTTCTCTGCGGCAAAACAGTACGAACGGTTTCCAAAAACTGGCGGCGTTCGAACCGTCTCGTCGAGGGCTTCCCGAAACCGCATCATGTAATTTTGGTTTGCATTCATGTTTCGTCGTGCGGGGGAGTATAATCGAGCTTAATAATCGGCCTAGGAGGTGTGGTATCTTACGACGCATGCACCCTACATAGCGCACCCTTTTCTTTGACCATATCGGGCAAAGACACGGAAACCCGTGGCCACAAGCAACGAATTACAAGACCCGTAAAACAGCACCTAGTTCCACGTTGAAGCTGGTTAAAAACTTCCACCAACTGGAGCCAAAACGTTCCGAAAGTCTGAAAATGAACATCCCACCACCCAGGCACTCCCTACAATACGGCTGTGTGGGAGCACTATCTACTTGCAGTGATTCAAATATAAAATAATCTGAAGAAGCCATGTTTCGCCCCTCTGAGTGGACCCCACACGAAAATGCAACATGCAAGTCGAGTCCAGTGTCTCAAAACAAACACCCGGGATCGTCAAAGATAAAAATGAATGCAGGCAGGCTGCTTTTACGCAATATGCTACATGAGCTGCCCCCGGGTAAGAAAAAAATAGGCTGCGTTCTCTGCGACGGTTTACGCAAGGGGTACTGCGAGTCCGCCGCAAAACTTGTTACTTCCAAAAAAAGGCAACAGACCAGACGCGCACACCAATAAATACACTCGCACAAACCTCGCCCAGCGCGTCCAACACGTAGCTCGTGTCGCGCGAAAAAGAAAAACTGCACACTACATAGCTACTGCACACGCCGGATATACACTACTACAGGAAAACGCCTCTTTGTATATACTTTCACGGGGCTTACAAAAAAAGGAAGTACCCCGTCATAGAAGGGGGTTACCCGCCCTCCCCTTCTCCCTTGCGTGATGTGGTCTCCAACCCAACTATACTACAAGCAGACAGCACACACAAGATATCAATACAGGGACGGATGGACAACGACAAAAATCCCAGCAGCGATAACGCACGCTAGCTACTTCGAGGGGGAGGGGGGGGGCTTCTGCCCGCCCCTGTGGCCGGAGCCCCGACCGTTGTAGTGGCCGACCCCTACAACAACTTTCTGTTGAAATTCACCATTTATCCGCCTGCTCCCTAGCTGCCTACCAGCGAGCGACGTCTCTCCTTTTTACTCCCTGTACATGGGGGGCAACATATATATTTTTTCGGGACGGAAACTCTCTACTGTAGATACCTACAGGTCATTTATGCGGACCAATGGAAATACCTCCGGAACATTAAAAGCAAGATGCCAAATAATATGCGTTAGCTACCCGTTTCATCGCCTCGGGCGCTCACGGCATCATTGCTTGGTTTTGAGCGACGACAACAGGTAAAACCGAGTCATTGGGGGGGGGGGGTCAACGAGATCTACGAGAGTCAACGAAGTCTACAACGACCCACAAAGTAGTGTGGGTGGATAACAAAGAACAAGAACAAGCATCAACCTCTGACGGACCTCGCTCGAGCGAGAAATCAGCCATGCCGTACGTAGAGACGCCCGACTAGCCTTGCGCCGTACGCCAACACAGGCAAAACACACGGGGGCATCATTGAACCCCTTCCATGTAGCAGTCGTCGTCGGGGGCACCGCAGCACTCAGCACCGTCAACGGGTACACCAAACACAGCGCCACCACGAGTCTCCTGCCTCGCCTTGACGACACAAAGGAGAAAGCCTGAAAGCTCAACGCCCCTCTAGTAACAAAAACACGTGCCGCCACGGGTGTTTCGGTCTCTACCCTCCCTTCCACACGCAAACATCCCGCTGCAAGACTGGCGTATTTTCACTGGTCAGCCTAATCGGTCAGACGGATAGCGCGGTCGATACCAATCAAGAAGAAACACACGCACACGCCCGCGCGCACCTGAGCATTCGAAACTCCCGATCGAAGTTCCGAATACCATAACGAAAGTACAAGGACAAAAACGAACGTCGACCAAAACAAGCCACAAGAAAAAATCGCACCGCACCGGAACCAACAACACGGCGCGCACCCACCACCATTCCGCGCACACAAGAAATCGAGGCCAACAGTTTTCAGTCTTGGAGAGAGGGACGATGGCGTCGAGATGCGGGGTCCTCCCACACCGACTGATACACCAACCGAACCAAGTACCGTTGGCATACGTTGCACCACACTTACAACATTGTACTATTTACGTCGGGGGTTGGAAAAAGGCATCGAGCGTTACACGGCGCGTTGGAGAAGAGGGCGACGGAGCCCGCGGTTGTCGAGGGGTCTCCATGGGTGCCGATAAGGTGCTCGTGAGACCCGGGTCCTGTATCTCCTCCTCTTCCTCCTCCTCCTCCTCCTCCTCCTCCTCCTCCTCCTCCTCGTCTTCGCAACCGTAGGCCGCAACCTCTCCTCCTTGTCCCGATGCCACGATCCCCGAAAAACTGGTGACGCCTCTCGCGGCCCCTGCTCCTCCGCTTCGAGCCTGGACAAAGAGCCTCGTGACCATGGCCTTCTCTAGGCGATCGCGCGGGCTGACGCTCGAGCCGTTCCCACTACCGCTGCCGTTACCCCTGCCGCGGCCCAAATCTCCGCCACTCCCGCTTCGGCTCTTGGTCACGTCCCACTCGTCCGGGGCGCAGAGGGACCCTCGAAGGCTGTTGAGCTCATCGCTCCCGAGGTCGTCGTCGTCCTCATCGTCCTCGTCGTTGCCGGAGTCGGCGTCAGAGCCCCCGGAGCTGCCAGAGTCCGACCACGGATCGGTCCACTCGGCGCCGGTCAGGCTGTCGCAGCCGGAGAGGACGTCCTCGACGACGGGGTGGGCCTGCATCCCCCCGCTGTCCCCGCCCAGGAAGCTCACGAGGTCCGGCGACACGAGCTCGCGGTCCGCCAGGATGGTGGCGAGCCAGGAGGCCAGGTGCACCTTGAGCTCGGTCAGTTTCTCCTCCCGCCGCCGGGCGTACATGACGGACCAGATGCCAGAGTCGAACCAGCTCTTGGGCGACTCGGGGAGCGGCGGCACCCTCGCCTCCGCCTTGCGGCGGTGGTCGCGCCGCGCATCTGCCACCGTTCTGCTGTCGCTTTTCTTGCTACTCTTGCCACCGCGCCCGCGCCCGCCGCCGCCGGCTGGTGCCGAATGCCAGCCCCCCGGTCCTTCTCCCACCGCTGCTGCTGCTGCTCTCTGCTGCTCCCGCTCTGCCGCCGCCGCCTCCGCGGCGAGGTCCGTGGCGGTGGCGACGAGCGACTCCCTCAGCTCGACGAACTCCAACATCTTTCGCTCTAGCGTCCAGGTGGACCTCGCCTGGGTGATGGCCAGCTCGAAGTACACGACGTTGTTGTCGCCCCCGTTGCCCAGCTGCACGCGGTGCCTAGGCACGCCGCATGACATCGGCTCCGCCTGCCCCACCTCTGACCGCCGCTGCCGCAGCAGGTCGGACGAGGACCGCGGCTGCCGGGCGAGCGGCCCGACGCCTGCCGACGCCGCCGCCGACGCCGCCGCGGACGACGCCGACGATCGTCCCGACGCCTGCGAGAGCCGCTTCGGGGGACGCTGGCCGGAAGTGCGTCGGCCGTGCAGCTGGAGTCGCCACGACACCGACGCCGCAGAGCTTGCTGACCTCCGATGATGGCGGTGGTGGTGCTGGTGCTGGTGGGGATCGCGCCCGCCCGTCGTCCTCCTCCTCGACGCCCGCAGCTCAGCGTTGAGCTCGGCGTTGATCTGCTGGAGGTCGTCCATCGCCTTCGCCAGCAGCTCCATATGCTTCGCGCCCAGACCACCACCGTCACCGCCACCCCCACCATGACCACCGCCCGCCCGTGCAGAAGATGAAGAAGAAGAATCTTCCGCTGCTATTTGTCCCGCGTCCACGGGCCAGAGCTTGCCATTCCGACCTCCATGCCCATGACTCACTTCACCCTTGCCGCCGTCTGCTGGAAGCCTTTCTTGCAAGATCAAAACTTTCAGGGCCTCCAGCGTCCTGGCCGCCTCGTCGGAACGAACCTTGAGGTCCTTCACCGATGTCTTGGGGTCCCGGGGCGGGCGGCGTTGCCGCGGCAAAACATCCCTGCCCCCCCTCGGCGACGACGGTCCGTTGGGGGAAGCGGAACGGCCGCCGTCCCCGCCTCCGTCAGGGGATGGTAGCGTCGCACTTCCATCCGCTGTGAAGCCCCCCCCGCCGCCACCGCCGCCGCCGCCGCCGCCGCCGCCGCCTTCGGGAGACCGCAGGCCCGTCGACGTTGTCCCCGCGGGCCGCCGTATCAGCCCGCCGACCCCCTTCTCCAGCTCCGTGAGGACGTTCCACGACTGCTGGTGGCGGAGACCGCCGACGCCACTAACAGTGCTGCTACCGCTGTTGCGGCGGACGCCGTCGCCGCCGGTCGGCACGATCGCGGACGCCCTGCGGCCCGCCTTCTGCTGCTGCCGGGGCAGGCGGTCGAAGAACCGCTCCGTGGTGGTCCGCAGGTCATCCTTGAGCAGCGCGATTGCGTCGTCGTCGTCCGAGAGGTCGAAGTCGCTGTCCCCGGCGAGGTTCGTCCTGCGCGCGATCACCACGCCTGCGCCCCTCGCTCCCGCCGCTTCGGCCGCTTCCGCCTCCGAAGCTCTGGGGGATGACCACGAAGGCTGAGAACTGTTGCCGTTTTCATCGGCCAGGGGCGTCTCCCACGCGAGCATGTTAGCCATGTCGCGGTGGAGACGCTTGATCTGTGTGGAAGGAACGAGCAGCGAGGTACAGCCAGAGCCGCGGGGGGGGGGTCACGACTCAAAACGCATGACACCGTGACAAGCACAACAGGAAAGCTACGAGAACAAGACACATGAGCAACAAGGTTCTGGTGCAATACTAATACGCTTCGTCTCCTTCGGGGGGATATCGATGCCCTTGCGTTCCCTGTCCCCGCAGCGTATAGGTTCTTGCACGGGACAGCACGAGTTGTTTGTGTTTCCGTGTCCGTCCTAAATGTCGCAGATGGAAAGGAGGGTCTCGTTTCGGGTACCACAGGGGTGCCATTCTGCACGAGAGTACCCGCAGCAGGAAATTCCCCAAGCGTTAGATTGAGCAGCGGCGTTCACCAATCAGATCAGATGGTCTTCGTGCATTGTGTGCAAAGAATGTACACAGTCGTGTGGCTATACGACCAGACAGGGTATGTAGATACCCTCTGTCGCGTCGTTTTACCAAAATTGAACTTCATTATAAGCGAGCTAACTCTCTTGCTCGCGTACATGCAAGAAGGTTATAATAGGTAGACTGCTTGGCCTGTTAAGCTCGTTGGAACAGAGGATTGCTGTGGTCTGGTGTTTGAACTTGTGGCGTGAGAAAGCGCCTGCTGCGAAATGTCCCCTCCGAGGTACGCCACGTATTGTTGCCTCGACCGCAGTCTCATGGCGGTGGCCTTACCCCCGTGGCGATCGACAGGTTAACCGCCATCATATGTCACCCGCACACATACGCGCACAGGGCAGCCTTGGAAGGGGTGTTCAGATTTGTTTTGTTTTTCTGTCGTCTGTTCGTTGGTCACCCGGAAAGGCGCCGTTGGTGCTAAATAGCGAAACCACGCAGTAGAGAGAGTCCATGGTTCTTCCCCGCTGCCCGCGTTCACATCCCGCTGTACGTAGGACTGACGTTATTGTGGTTGGTTAGACCCTCTGGTTCTCGGTTGTGGGTTGTTAACAGCCTTCGCAAGTTGGTAGCGGAAAACGCATTGACGTGTTGCGTAACTGCATGCGGTCTATAAAAGGCTACATGTGGTCTCATACATGGATAGGTTGGTCTATATTATAGGTTTACCAAGAGTGTCATCAGCTCGTCCATGTTCCAGTTCGGTTGCGTTCTATGGTACTATGCAAGAGAGGCTGGGCTCTCAGTGATACATATGGTAAGTATCATGAGACGTTTTGGACATTACGCCGTGCTTACACATCTGATAAGAAACTGGAGGCAGCGCTGCAGGGGGAAAAGTGAAGAACAAACCAAACTTTTGTGTTTTACCTCCCTCCTGTGCGGCACCGGCTGGTGCGTCATCCACACACTGAAAGATACGTGCTGCGCCCAAATAACTGTGGTCGGTCAATCAGAGGGAAAATCTGATTTCACTGCTGCTCCATGGTTACCCCGGCTCTTGCAGCACTGTGTCGGTGAGCGCGCGTTTGTTAGCCCACGCCCTAATTGCTGTTGCAGGGCATTGTTGTTGTTGTTGTTGTTGTCTTCACATTAAACTCGTGTCAGTTGCTAATCCCAAAATCTAGCAAAGACGCGGTCCGTGGTCACAAAAATGCTAGATAGAGCCATCAGAACATCCAAAGAACACGCAAACAAGCAAGAAAAGGGTTACAAGCCCGAAGAGGTACACCTACATCCCTGCGGCACGTTTGCGTGCCCAACAACTGAACTACCCGTCCACACACTACATTCGACTACAGCAGCATCACCCCCCCTGTCCTACACTTTACCAAAATGAATGTCGACTACAGCGTACAGCTGTCTGAAGTGCTGCCTGTACAATAACACCATGGTAGGCATGGTACAAGTTCGGGGCGCGCAACTGCTGTCTGAAGTGCTGTCAGAATGCATCCGTGGACATAGAGTGAAAAAGAACAACCAATCAAAGCCATCATTGCAATTGACAATCACCGAATCTACCCCTGATCACCTGTGTTGGACACAGCAGTGTTAAATAATCGATACTGATTAGGAATCGTTCCACATTGAAGGAGTCTTCCACAATGCAGGTACACAATAAACAAAGGCATACCACGTGGTGAATAGGCCGCGGCGGGGGGGGGGGGGGGGGGGGGGGGGGGGCGCCAACCAACCCCCTGGTTTTTTAAACCGGGGAAAAGGGGAGGCCCCGTTGCAACCCCCCCCCCGGGGGATTTTTTTCCCCCCCCCCGAAACAAACCCCTTTGGGGGGGGGGTCCCTTTTAAATTTCAAAGGGGGGGGGGGAAAAAAAAATTGGGTTAAAAAATTTTTAAAAAAAGAACCCCGGGCCCAACCCCCCCCAAGGGGTTTTGGGGCAAAAAAAAATTCCGGGGAAAAATTTTAAGTGCGCCCCCCGGGGGGGAAAACCTTTCCCGGAAGGGCCTTTTTTTTCCCCCCCAGGTCCC